GATATAAAAACAAAGCAGAAACAAGAGAAGAGCATACATGACTACCATAACAAAAATGACACCACTAAAAAGAAGCTGAATGCAAATCAAATGCAATGACTAATACTGGTTCCAAAGGACAGATAATACAACATAACCTCCCTCCTCTCAATATGAGGGAACCTATGGATGCTGACTTTTGCAAACACTGACAGATTCAGTGCTGACTGGTTTTGTTTGACTGTGTTTTCTTTGTTATAAAGGAGGATTCTAGGGAGCATATCAGGAAATGACTGTGGTGTAAAAACACAAACAAAAAAACCCAAGAATATCAATAAAACTAAACTAAAATCCAATGTTTACTTATCTGGGAGACTTAAAGTGCTATAAATCAGTTAACAATCCATCAATTTAAAGGCTTACTTAGATTGAAAACAATGCATTTTCACTTAGTTATACACTCAAGGGAAGAATTCATTTTGTGGCTATGTCACCATTCAAACTCTATAAGAAGTTTCAATTATCCTAGTCACAAAACTGTTCCAAGGATACCCTATGATTGTAAATGATACATATAATGCCACCATTTCCAAAGGATAAAATACTAGAGGTGACCCCAACAGCAAAAGAGATAAAGAATTAATAAAAACATACTTCAGCACATAACCAACAAGGACTTCCTCACAAGTAGTAGTAGGAAATATGAGCTGTCTGAAAAAGAAGTGGGTTTGTCATAATAGTGACAACAAGGGATAAAAGACAGACAGCCACGTTGCAATGTAACCTACTGAAATACTTAAAGACCTAAAGGAAAACCTCTAGCACATTAAATAGACCCTATTCTTGGTGGAAACAAACAAGAGTTTTACAAGTCTAAAAGGTTCAGAAGATATGATTAGGTTCCAAAGAGTAGCCACACTGATAAAATTACAGATATAGTGAAGAGTTCAATTATGTCAGTTATAAAAATGTAACATAGATAACAAAAGGTCCAGAATATCAAGAGAAATAATGAAAAGAAATGCAGGGGAAGGTGGCCTAGCCATTCCAGATCTTGAATTGTATTATAAATCAGCAATCATCAAAACTACTTGGTACTGGCTAAGAAATAGAATGGTGGATCAGTGGAATAGGTTAAGTATGCAAGACACAGTAGTCAATGACTACAGTTATCTATTATATCTATTATTATTTGATAAACCCAAAGATCCCAGCTTCTGGGATAAGAACTCACCGTTTGACAAAAACTGCTGGGAACACTGGAAAAGAGTCTGACAGAAACTAGGCATAGATCAAAATCTCACACCATATACCAAAATAAAGTCAAAATGGGTTCATGATTTAGATATAAAGGCTGATACTGTAAGCAAACTGGGAGAGCAAGAAATAGTTTACCTATCAGATCTATGGAGAACAGAAGAATTCATGACCAAACAGGAGACAGAAAACACTATATGAAATGCAAAATGGATAACTTTGATTGCATCAAACTGAAAAGTTTTTGCACAAACAAAGCCAATGCAACCAAGATTAGGAGGGAAGCAGAAAACTGGGAAAGAATTTTTACAACCAGTGTCTCTGATAAGGGCCTCATTTCTAAAATATATAGAGAACTAAGTCAAATTTATAAGAATACGAGTCATTCTCCAACTGATAAATGGTCAAAGGATATCAACAGGTAGCTCTCAGATGAAGAAATTAAAGCCATCTATAATGGCTTAATGAAAAAATGCTCTAAATCACTACTGATTAGAGAAATGCAAATCAAAACAACTCTGAGGTACCACATCACACCTATCAGATTGGCCAATATGATGAAACAGGAAAATGATAACTGTTGGTGAAGATGTGGGAAAACTGGAAGACTAATGCATTGTTGGTAGAGTTGTGAACTGATCCAACCATTTTGGAGAACAATTTGGAACTATGCCCAAAGGGCTATAAAAATGCACATACCCTTTGACCCAGCAATAGCACTCCTAGGGCTGTATCCCAAAGAGATCATACAAATGGGAAAAGGACCCACATGTACAAAAATATTTATAGCAGCTCTTTCTGTGGTGCCAAAGAACTGCAAGTTGAGGGGATGCCCATCAACTGGGGAATGCCTGAACAAGTTGTAGTATATGAATGTAATGGAATACTACTATGCTATAAGAAATGATGAGCAGGCAGACTTCAGAAAAACCTGGAAAGACTTATATGGACTGAGAGCAGAACCAGGAGAACATCATACACGGTAACAGTCATGTTGTGCAGATGACTAACGCTGAAAGACTTAGATCCTTGCATTGGATCTAAGACATCTCCAAAGGTCTTATGATGGAAAATGCTATCCACATCCAAAGAAAGAACTATGAGTTTGAATGCAGATTGAAGTATACTATTTGCTATTTTTTCTCTTCTGTTGAGTTTTGTTTCCTCTTTCTGGTGGTTCCTCCTATTGGTTCTAATTCTTACTTACAACATCACTAATGTGAAAATATGTTTAATAGGAATGTATATGTATAGCCTATATCAGATTGTGCACCATCTTGGGGAGGGAAGTGAGGGAGGGGGAGAAAAATTTAAAACTCAAAAGCTTATAGAAGTGATTGTTGATAATTCAAAATAAATCAATTAAAAAAATAAAAATGTAACATAAGCAATCCAAAACTTATTTATACACACACACACACACACACACACACACACACACTCTCTCTCTCTCTCTCTCTCTCTCTCTCTCCTCTCTCTCTCTCCTGGATAGCCCCAAGAGCTTCATTTTCAGCACTCTCTTTCTTTCTTCACTCCTTAGAGACCCTATCATTATTTAAACCCACCCCCAACTTCATCCAACTAAGATGTGTACTTGGTATCCCAAATTGGAACCCTGAATACATTTCCTACAGATACACAAATAAATCATCATATTATGACTCACCAAATAAATATGGCTCCTACAGGTTTTTGTTACTAACATGTATAAAAGGAATTTTCACTTTGAAACCACCTACTCTGTCTAGCTTAAGATCTGTAGGTCTCAGTTTCCTCATCTGTAAAATGAAGGGAGATAATTAAAGCTTTTTCAGGCACTAAATCCAATGAGTCAGGAATGTTGCTAAAAGAGATCTGACAGGTTAAAAGAGAGACTACTTTCCACAAGAAAGGAGAAACAGTTTTTCTCCTTTGAAAAATAAAATGAAAAGACATCAAGAATGCCTCTATATTCAAACTTTAGATGATCAAAATATTTTCAAAAGAATGTCTCAATATCTATCCACATTTTTTAACCCTGAGATATAAATTTTTTCATTTTGAAAGAGCAGCATAAATCAATTAATTAATTAATTACATCTAAAGCATACAAGGATAAGGCTCTAACAATAAAGGGTTTTGGGGGGTAATTGCCCATACAAAGGTTTTACCTTTTAACTATCAATAAAGGACCAATTTACATAAAAATAAATGTGATTTTTATAGGGTGGGATTAAGTGGTCTGTGTTGTTTTTTTTTTAATTCCACAAAATAGAATTACAAAGAAGTCAAACTGGTTCTACAATTTAATTTGGCTTCACAGTGTTATATTCTTTGTTAAAAAAACAAAAATCAACATTCTAAATAATAACTAATAATCTTTGAGTTATAAGCCAGAAAGACATAAAAGGGACTATTAGAAGTATTTGTTTGGAAACTGAATATGCTGAGGTTCCAGCGAAGCAATTTTGTGTTCTGATTGAGAGGGACTGATTTCATAGGTTCCCTAACACTTGAATGACATGTAATTTATAAACACACTTGCCCTGTGATTGCAAAAAGACACACATTTTCTTAAGTAGTAGGAAATTAAGCTTGTGACTATCTAGCATTTAGGAACACAGAGACATAAAACAGGCCTGTGAATCCATTTTTTATATTTATAACTATAGGTAACACACAAGGAAAAGATGCCACTTTAAGTTTCAAGAAAGTAAGGTCAATCTTTTATGTGCTTCTACTTTCTGTTCTATTTTTTCCCTTCTCAATTCCTATAGAATTCTAGACTTCCCAAAAATAAAAAATCAATCTTGATATATAGGATTAATAATGAGTAATATAATAGGATTAATAATATTATATAAACCTCTCTTCCCCTGTCCTTCTGTACTCCTCTCTCAAACCTAACTGAAAACAACAGGCTACAACTCCTAAGTTTCTGCTCAAAAAAATGAATAAGCAGATTAGTCAGAAGATGAGATGCACTACCAAGTCATGGATAGGGTGCTGGACATGGAATCAGATTTGTGACTTGGGGGGGGGGGTGAGGCTAAGCAGTGGGGTTAAGTGATTTGCCCAAGGTCACACAGCTAGTAAGTGTTAAGTGTCTGAGGCCACATTTGAACTCAGGTCCTCCTGACTCCAGGGCTAGTGCTCTATCCACTGTGCCACCTAGCTGCCCCTGGACATGGAATCAGGAAGATGTATGTTCAAACTCCACCTCAAAACAGCTTCTAGCTGTGTTACCTTGGACAAGTCAATGAACCTCTCTAAGCTTCAACTTCTTAATCTGTAAAATGAGACTGGACTTGATCTCTAAGGCCCTTTCCAGCTCTGTTTTGCTTTGTACTCCAATATCTAGCACAGTGTTAGCACACTGTGAGCATTTAACAAATGCCTGTTAACTAAATCTATAACCCTATGATCTTATAGCTTTTACTTACAATTATTTAAGTAATAATGACCTTTTTATCCAGACTTAGAAAACTACAAGACATTCTAAGATACTCTCATCTCTCCCAAAATATTACCATCCTTAATTCAAAGAGTGACCTTGGCAAATACATTTAACCAACTAAAAACAAATATATTATAGATGATTAATTATGAATATTAATTATAAAATCTGCTTATCATGTAAACCGACTCAATTGCTTGAATAAAACTGGTAATAGCAGGTCAAGTTGCTCATTACAATAATTAGCTATCTATAACAATCCAGCAACTAATCCAGCTAATATACTTTAAAAAATTATTTAAAGCCATATTTTTAAAGTAGTACTTACATTTATCTGCAATTTCATCAAAAACTGCACCAGCCTTCTGTTCAACCTGTTTAAAAAAACAAAAAAGAAAATAGAAATCATGTCTTTTGGCATCATCCACCCCCAAGGGTTGCCTTTTTCAACCCAAATGTGTGAAAATACACAATAACCAATACGCGGTTATTTAAAAAACTAAGGAGAAATATCTGAAGGGGAAACATAATTATAGTACCCAATTCCTCATCACTAAAACAACATATCCTCTCAGTGAAAAACTATTAATTATAAAAGCCTAAATGATACCTAATGTTATACCTGTTTATTTCAAACAGAGCAATAAAAAGTTAAAAGGGAACCTAGGTTAAAGAAAACAGATTTATGCAAGTCCCCAATATGCATAAGAAAGAACTCAGAATAATGCTCTGAAAAATATGCACAAAAAACCATACTTAGGACCACTTTGATTTTTTTAGGATGACTAATTTTAACAAAATGGAAATATTGTCCTTCATTTCTACTACACCATTGTCTAAACCAAATCTTATCTCCAGCATTGTGGAACCTGATATATACTAGAACTGATAACACAATTAAGTAACAGCAGAAATTTATTTTAATATCATATGCCTGATATGCATAATAACTTTGGGGAGGGGATTCATGAAGTGACCTTGAACAAGTCACTTCTCTCAGTCTCAGTTTCCGTATCTGCAAAATGAGGGGATTCAACTAAATGGTCTCTAAGATACCTTCTAGCGCCAATCAAATAAGAATTACTATTATTAAAAGTTTTTAAAATTATTCAGTGCTTGAGTGGAAACCCATTTAATCTATCAAATTTATTTCAGTAGCCAAAGCTATTTTCTAAGACTTTACTCTATGCCCATTTCAGTGCAAAGAACACTTTGCTTTGATACTGTACTAAAAATGACTTAGTAACTTGAATTCTATTATAAAAATTGTACTATTTGCCCATCCCTCATTCTTACATTAAATAAGCCCTCCCCGCAAACCTTGTTTCTAACTAATATCCCTTGACCCCTAAGATAGTTATTCTTCTTTAATGTTTTCAACTGATACTATATACACTGAGTAAGCATTAACAGGTTCAGAATAAGAAGGCTTCTTAGTGCAACCTTGTAATTTTACAAATGAGGAGACTGAGGTACAGAAAGGATAAGTGACTTGCTCAATGTAACATGTATTAAGTGGTACAGCTAAGACTCAAACTCAGGCCCAAGTTCAGTGCCCTTTCTAAGGTTTAAAGATTTATCTGCTTTAACCTTGTACAATTTTATACTTCAAATTCAAGGCCAGGTTTTGGTCAGTGAATGTTCTACGTCAATGCACTGCAGCTTTTACACCATATTTAATCAAGAGTTGCTTAGTATCCAAAACACTCCTGAGGATAAACCAAACACTTTAGGAGGCATATTACAGTTAGTAAAAATATCCAATTTACCACAGCAATTTAGATTATTTACAAAAATGGCTTAATTCAAATATAATTGAATTGATTGTCATAGAATCTAAAAACATGCAAGCAATTATAGGAAAGCTAGACAGTTAAATCAAGAGGAAGTTGTTACAGTCTATGCCTATAGACATAAGCATTTGAGAAAGAGCATATAAAACTAAGTATTTGGTTGTTTAAAAAAAATAAAGATATTATAAAATTTGTCTTGGTTAAAGTGTTTTCAAAACACAAATCTCCTATTCATCCCCAAACTACATTTCAATTCTGTTAATCTATTTATTTAATCACATGCTACCATAGTAATGGCTTCCATTTATATAGTGCTTTACAGCTGTACAAAGTGCTTTGTCAACATCATATCTTTTGATCCTTATAACCCTGGATAGCACATAGTACAAAAGTTAACAACTGTTCAACAAGCATTTATTAAGGGCTTGCTCTGTGCCAGGCATTGTGCTAAGTTCTGGGGACACAAAGAAAGACAAAAACAGTCACTTCTCTCAAGAAGATCACTTTTCAAAAGGAAGAAACAATCAACTACTATTTATTAAGCAACTACTATCTGGAGATACAAGTACAAACATTAAGATAGGAGTCAACAAATACATATTAAAAAACTTACATAATACACAGTAGTAAATGAGCATAGCAGTCTAATGCTTGACAAACCCAAAGATCCAAGATTTGGGGACCACAAAAAAAAATCACTAACAAAAACTGCTGGGAAAACTGGAAAGCAGTCTGGCAGAAACTAGGTACAGAAAAATATCTTATTGTCATGCCAAGTTAATGTCAAAATGGGTACATCATTTGGACATAAAGTGTGACATCATAAACTAATTAGGGAGCATGGAATATTTCATCTGCCAGATTTACAGCTAAGGGAAGAATTTATGACCAAACATGAGAAAGAGAACATTACAGGATGCCAAATGGATAATTTTGACTACATAAAACTAAAAAGTTTTTGCACAAACAAAACCAATGCAGCCATGATTTGAAGAGAAGTGGGAAACTGAAGGAAAAATTTTTATACCAAGTATCTCTGATAAAGGCCTCTTTTTTCAAATATATAGAGCACTGAGTCAAATCTATAAAAGTAAACGTCATTCCTCAATTGACAAGTGGTCAAAGGATATGAACAGGTAGTTTTCAGAAGAAGAAATCAAAGCTATCTAGCCATATGAAAAAACACTCAAAATCACTTTTGATTAGAAAAATGCAAATTAAAACAACTCTTGAGGTACCACCTCACACTTACAGATTGGCTAATATGACAGAAAGGTAAAGTGATAAATGTTGGAGTGGATGTGAAAAATAGGGACACTAATGCATTGCTGGTGGAGCTGTAAATTCTGTTTTGGAGAGCAATTTGGAACTATGCTATAAAACTACATACACTTTGACCCAGCAACATCACTACTACATCTGTATCCCAATGAGATAAAAGAAAATGGGAAACGACCTAGATGTACAACAATATTTTGGCAGCTCTTTTTGTGGTGGCAAAAAATTGGGAAGTTGAGGGGATGCCCATCAATTGGGGAATGGCCTAACAAGTTCTGGCATATGATTGTGATGGAATACTATTCTGCTATAAGAAATGATAAGCAAGCAGGATGCTTTCTGAAAAGCCTGGGCAGACTTGAACTGATGCAAAGTGAAATGAGCAGAACCATATGAACACTGTACCTGTACAGTAACAGAAATACTGGATGATGACCCACTCCCTATGACCTAGGTATTATCAGCAATACAATGATCCCAAAACAATTCCAAAGGACTTATCATGAAAAATGTTATCTACCTCCAAATAAAAAACTAAGTCTGAATAAGATTGAAGGGTACTTTATTATTTTGGTGTTTTTTGGTCTGTGTTTTCTTTTACAACACTGCAAATGTTTTCCAAGACTGCACTTGTATAATCTATATCAAACTGCTTGCCTTCTCAAGGAGAGAATTTAGAACTCAAAATTTTAAAAGACAAATGTTAAAAATTTCTGTTTACAAGTAATTGGGAAAAAAAATAAAAAATTAAATGTAAAAAATCTTATCCATCTTAATAAATATGAAGTGAATAAGTACAAATATATACAAAATGGTACTATACAGTAGTCTGAAAGGGAAGTTACTGTCAGGAGTTCGAAAATCAGCAAAGGCTTTGTGAAAAAGGTAATGCTTGAGCAGCATCTTAAAAAAAGAGGAACTCCATAAAGCAGATATAACTAGTTTCATCTACATTTTACAGATTAGGAAACTGAGGCTCAGAAAAAATAAGTCATTTATCAAATCACAAGACAACTAGTAAACGGAAGACTAGATACTAAAATTCCAGTCTTCTGATGTTCATTACAGTATACTGCCTCTTTACTACTATGTATGTGGGCACTGCAGCGAACAACAAGAATAAATATGCTGCTCCCAAAGAGTTTGCAGTCCAGAACATGCCAACATGCCACTTATCTTACCATCATAAGGAACAGAAATTACTACTTTATAATACTACCCACATAAGTGATCAATGTTTGGTGAAATAAATACCAAAACCTTCTAATCACTTGAGAAGGAATTTTTTTTTTCTAAAGAGAAAAGGAACCCAGTAGTATATCAAAAAAGAACAGTAAACTTTTGGACCCAGAAGATCTGGGTTAGTTAAGTACTAACAATGTGCAAGTAACTTACCCTTGCTAAGTTTAAATCTATTAATGACTTCAGGGATTTATTCCTTAGGTCTGTCTATAGAAGGTCCTCTGCATTGAGATGCTATACTTTTTGAGTTCTTATGTATGTTCTATGCTTTTTCTGTCTGTCCTTCACTGTCTTTCCGGCTGTTATGTTCTTGCCTCTAATACTAGAGAAACTTTGAAGCTGAAAGGGTCATAAAAACCAGTTTTATTAATTTTACAGATGAGAAGCTTAATGCCCAGATGTTAGGTGATTTACCTATTGTGATATAGATAAGTAGCGGTATAACTGAAATTAAAAGTCATTTTTCTGAATCCTACGGAGCACTATATGTACCACCTTAGTTGCTTCTAAGTGACTTTGGGTTTAGAAACTAGATAAACCAATTTTGGGGAAATATGTTTGAAACAAAATTTAGTAGGCTCTCCGGGTGACCAACTGGCTCTCCTGTGGTCACAGATGGTCACCTATGACATTTCTTTGGGCTGTTCAGAGGCCTTCCCATTTCCTTTCTTGTTCTTGACTGTATTCCAGAGTCAAGATGCCAGAGAGGTAACCACTAGATGAAGAAGACAATACTATATACATAAAAAAGCAATGTCAGGAAAGACAGATGCCAAACAAATGATACAGACAGTAAGGGCTATAGGAATCAGTGACTGGAGGGATTAATAAGAGCTGGAAAGGTCAAGGAAGGTTTTAATATCCAGCCTTGGTGACTTTCTTTTTAGCTGCCCCTAGTTCCTGAAATGCATTCTACCTCTTAGAAATCTTTACCTCTTTCAAGGCTCAATTCATGCTCTACCTTCTACAGGAAACCATTCCCTATCCTCTTAGCAGTAAAGTGCTGTTTTCATCCTTAAATTATCATGTATATATTTATCTCTTCACATGTAGTTTCCTCT